CTCAAAGTTAATGCCCCAAGATTCGGGACTTTGCATTTTAATATATAGGATTCCAGGACTTCTATCGTATTCTGTCAACATTTTCCCCTTTTCCTTTAAAATCTGCTACAAGTTCGCACTAATATTAAAGTTCGGATTTCAATGGTTACAGTCTCCGGGTTTGTTTCACCACACTGGATTTGACAATATCTTGTACCTATGGAGATCTTCAAAGCCAATTTCTTGGGTCAAAATACATCCTGATGCCAGGACGCATTTGATGAGCAGAATTAAATATCGTAACGAAAACTACACAGGGGTTTCCTCACCTGGCTTTTAAAATAATTCTGTGAGCGTAAACAGGTATTTCCTCTCTGCCAAGAAGAAAGACAATATCGGCAGATTCTCGATCATCAGCTAATCGCTGCAGATCCTCCAGAAGCTTGGGAACGCCTGCCAAAGCTTTGTCAGTGAACAGAGTGGGCGCTCCTCGGGTGCCCATCCCTCTGACTGTTTTATGTGTGTACTCTGCGGAGGTTGGCAAGTGTACTTTCGGGTATTAAAAGTTCAGCTGCTTGTGATTTGAGATCCACACTAGTTATATCAGCAGGTTCACTGAAACAAAAAGTAAGGTGAGGTTGGGTAACTGGGCGGTGGGGTAACTGGGCAGTACCCTCTGTATTTCTACCAGATTAGTGCAAAAATTGTTTTCACTGTTAGCATACCTTCATTATGACGTAAACCATCTAGAACATGTAAACATAACTTCAAAAAAAAATTTTATGGTGAATGGTGAAGTGCCGAAAATTGTACAGCTTTTTTTTCAAAACAACGCCAGAGGTGGTCCCGAAAAGAGCCTCATATCTCACTCCCAGCAAGTATTTTATTCAACTTTGACAATTCTTCTTCATGTATGATGTATTTGTGTAATGCGTGAGTAAATTACAACGTAATTCGATGAAAATACTGGCTGCAAAGGGTTGATGCCCAGTTACCTTGAAAATTTTCCCTTTGTGGGGTAACTGGGCACCCACCCCAAGGTAACTGGGCAGGTGGCAGTGGTGGCACCTGCCCAGTTACCCATTGCAAGGTTGCTGTGCTTCGGTGTTTGTTTACTTCTGAAAATTTCAAAACTAATTGACTATTGTGGACTTTTAAGTGCCAAAGACCAATAATCAGGGTTCCCAGCACACTGAACTTCTAACTTAAGTCAATTATAGCATAACTTACGCATTATTTTTGCCGCTAACTGTTACGACATCATTATTAACCACTTAAACATGTTTATATACATTCAAATGACATTTTCTTAAACCTTCATGAGCAGGACATCACCTTCTGGCCAATGAGAATTAAAAATAATGCCCCCCTCAAAAATTAAGGGGGGGTAGTCCAGTTACCCCACGACGTTGGGTAACTGGGTGAAAAAAACGGAAAATTTTTGAAAATTTGTGGGAAAAAATTGAAAGATGAAATTCGACTTTTGACCAGGGGTCGAGAGGGAATTGAAATTAATTTGATCGCCCTCCGAGTTCGCGAACGACC